GTTCACCGCGCTCAAGGAGTCCTGGCCACCGTCCACGGGCAGGTTCCGGGACGACATCGTGCAATCGGTGATGAAGCCCATGATCGAGTTCCTGGAGCGGACTGGGTCGTACCTCACCATCAACGCATACCCGTACAAAAGAATGCCAAGATCCACACCTCATGACGCAAAAGAATGCCAAGATGCACACCTAAAGACGCAAAATAATTCCCCGTACAAAAACCCTGTGCTAATTAAACTGAAGGAGGGATGTACCATTCACCTGTACCCATGTTGATCGGAGTACGTGGGGACTGCTCTCCATCTCCTGCTGTGTCCATGGTGCCAGTGCCGATTCCAGGTGATGTTGTCATTGTTCGCCGGAGAAATCAAGACAGAAATCAAGGATGTAGAGAAAGAGCAACTACGCCGAGAACGTGGCGGCTACGATCCTATAATTACGGGCGGAGATCGTGGCTTCAAACCCCGTTTCCAGTTACCCCTGTGTTTGGCAGCCGAGCGGCGCAACTGGGCGCGAGGGCATAGTGGGCCTTGGGCCGCGCGCTCGGGCTCGACCGGGGAGTCAGCTATATACCGGGCTAATTGGGCCGACGCGGCCTGGTAGGGCCCTATTTGTGGTCGAACCTGACCTAGCTGTCGCTGGCCCATGGCACCAATTTTTTTTTGTTGCAAACCATTGAATTTTTTTTTGCAAACCATTGTAGTTTGCACGTACTGACTGAGTGGAGTAAAAGGCCTCAAGTGAATTTAAGTGAATCAATCACTCTCATGTCTCCTCTGAGTAGCTAGACTAGTGCAAACTAATCTGTCACTATCACGTGTCATCCGAGTGGACTAACAGGCTAATAGCATGATAACAAAGTCAACCGATCACTCTCATGTCTCCTCTGAGTAGCTAGACTAGTGCTCGTAGGACGACAAGTACTGAACCTACATTCTCACGGCTCGTTTGATCAGTGGACTGATAGACCGTTAACCTAACATGATAGGAAGTGAACCGATCACTCTTATGTGTCATCCGAGTGCACTTATAGGTTGAATCGATCACTCTATCCACGTGTTTTTTATGTGTGAATCCGAGTTTCTTTATTTTAAGGTCTGGCTTTATATTACAAATCAGTACTGGAAGATACAAAAAAATTCAATTACAAAATAAAAGGTCTGAAAAAAAAGGTTTTCAAGAGGGACTTCAATTGCAAAATGGATGGTTCGAAAAAAAAATTGGTGCTAAGGGCCAGCAACGGCTAGGTCAAGCTCGACCTCGAAGGGAGCCCAACCAGGCCGCGCCGGCCCAATTAGCACAGGTAACAGACGTTCAAGAGCATAGGCAGTGTAGTAAAGGTGTTCGAACTGGCTAGTTTGCCTGCGCTTTTAAGCTGCGCTTTTGATTGATATGCAAGCGAGGTGGGACTAAACTAGGCATGTAGCTGACTTCCTTCTCCACCGCTCTCGCACTCCCCTCTATTTTAGTTCTGGGCCACAGCCCACTACCTGGCCACGCAAACCAACCGCAGCCCTCAGCAACAACAGGCCAGCCCCGCAACAACAGGCGACGTGGCCCAGCGCCCTTTGCGCGCGCCCCTGTCGCTGACCTGCAGGGCCCACGTGTCAGCGGCTCCACACACCATGTCGCCTCCTTCCCTGGAGACGGACACAGAGCGGCAACTTCTCCCCAACTCCCGGCGATATGCCTTTGGGCCAAAACCCACTACCCCTCCCCTCCATCGAACGTGCCCTGCAGCGTCGCATCAACCGGGATTAGCCACCGCCACCCGATCCCCTCGATCGTGGCACCCGAGGTTCCCCGCGCCCGCCCCTATAAACAGTATGCCCAGAGCACCGCGCTGCCACCTTAGAACCCTAAAGGGGCCGCTCGGAGCCGTAGCCTTAGCCCTAGCCCTAGCCCACCGCCGGCTGGAGCTCGACGCGCCGCCGCCGCTGATCTCCACCTTCACCGCATCGCCGGCCACATCCACGCCGTCTAGAGATGAATCCAGGAAAATCATCGGCTGAGAAGAAGATGAAGACGGGAAAATCCATGGCTCTGAAGAAGAGCGCCGAAAGGTGCTTGGCCCCTGACTGCGTGAACTGCGTGAATGGAGTCTCTCCATGCCTCTCCCTGAGAGAGAGAGACGGCTTCAGCTGCTGCAACTGCTGGAACTGGAATCGCGGTCGTCGCAATGCTTGCGTGAACGGAGGATGTGATCTTCGTATCAAAAGGCCCAGGTCACCCAACGAGGTATGTCTGTGGAACGACGAATTTTTAGAGATCTGTTTGTAGTTGATTTGGAAACACCTATGCCTGTTTGTTTCTATGCAATCCAGTCCATAGCTCATGCATGCATATTTCTATGCAATTTTTTTTCAAGTGCTAATGAGTGTTTGGTCTGGTTCCACGAGGGATAGATGCATTGGCTCTTTTATATGATCCATTATATTTCAGGTGTGCAATCATGAATTCTGCCCTGACGACGGCCGATGCAATAAGTATCTGTGCCACAACTGCAAGAACAGTGTCTCTCCGTGCCTAAATCCTGTCGGTGGCATCAACGACCTGCTGGCGTGGTGCTGCAACTGCTGGAGCCATGAGATCCGTAGATGCTTGAATGGGTGTCAGGACTGGAGTGATGAGGAGGACGTGTCAGACCACCAGGTATCTTCTTGCACGGCTGCATGTAATTTGTACTACACAACCCACTTCATTTGACATGTATTATTTTTGGCATGTATTATTTTTGACAGATTCCATACTTACACGATGACACAACCCTTAATTGAAAATCAGTCTTACTGAGGCTGGTATAATATTTATGCTTTCCATTTTCAGTGTAGGAAAATGATAAAATGGATGCCCATGGATTTTGCATCTCCTACTATAATGTCCACTACCAAGTTAGGAAAATGAATGGCCAATAGCTTATCATGTGCTACTATAATGCCAACATGATGGCCCTGTCTATTTGAAATCGCTGTAATGCAGGGATGTTTTTCGATTCTCGATTTTGCTAGTTCAAAGTTCTGAATTGGTGGTGAGCAGAAGCTGAGATAATCAAGGCATTTGGTGGGATTCTCGTTTTTTTTTCACCGAGAATCTGTTATAAGCAGAAGCAAATAGGGCTGGTGTCCAGTAATTCTCCATGTCCTAATGTAAATATCAATTGTATTGATCAAGAGATAAGTTTCACATATATCCCCAAATCTGAGACCTCACCTCCCCAACCACTGTTGTCAGCCATGGACCCTGAAAAGCAGTAGGGATCAAGACATCATGTCTTAATAAAGTTATCTACCATGTATCCATGTTTCAAATATTAGAAAAGAACAATAGAGCAAACCTCTAGTCATTCCAATGCACTGTTTATGGTTTGTCTAACTTGGGCTAATGGCTTATTTGATGGTTAAATGCAGATGGTATGATTGGCATGGCTATCATCACAGGCGCCTTTGGAGTTGTGGGTCTTGTTGCTGCTGGTATAATTGTTGCGGCTTCTTCGTCATCCAGGAGGAGATGAGGATATCTTCTCTCTTGAAGTGAATAAGAAATCAAGACGGGCAAAAGCTTGGTGACAGATGATCATCACTTTTGTGCACAGTGTGAAGGGGTGCTCACTTGTCTTTTTTCCTGTACTTTGCGCGTGAGACCAACCTTGTATTGTGTCCAAACGAGAGATAAATGTATTCTTAACAGTAGAGGATGAGGCTCAGGAACATTTTGATTGTTGTACTTTGTGTTGCTGCAGAAGATGCTGTGAGTATAGTACAATAACAAAGTGCATAATAATACTCTGATCCCGGGTCCTAGTTTCCTAGATGAGTTCATTCCTCATCGCCAATATGAAATTGCTGCACTTTACTTTCTGTGAATTTTTTGTGTGGCCTTAAAGCGTTCTGCTTAATGACTTTTTAAGCGGAAAAGGAGCTTAAAGTACGGGCAGAAGCAGCTCAAGGACGCCTAGTCGCCGCGGAACTACTACAAGTGCACCCGCGACGAGCGAGGTGGATCTCCTGGATGACGGCTACCGGTGGCGCAAGTACGGGCAGAAGGTGGTCAAGGGCAACCAGCGGCCGAGGTGAATTTGTGATGGTGCTCAGTGCATGCTCACTGCTCTGCTCAATGATGTGCAGGAGCTACTACAAGTGCATCGCCGACAATTGCAACGTGCGCAAGCAGATCGAGAGGGCGTCCACCGACCCCAGGTGCGTCCTGACGACGTACACAGGCCACCACAACCACGACCTGCCAGGACGGGGCAACAAAGCCTCCGCGGGCGGCTCTTCTGCTAATCCGGCCCCTCCATCTGCGAACACGGCTAGTGGAAGTGGGGCGTTTCAGGAGAATTGGGGGGCTCGGCAGCTGAACGAGGAGTTCTAGCCAGGAAATGAATGATTGGCCATTGGCCTCTGTGGAGTGTGGCTTTCCTGGGTGTGAATAATAGAGGCTGGATCATTGATTCTTTTGGGTAGGTGTTTCTGCTGGCTAATTGTTATTTGATGAGATTTCAACTGTTGTAGAGGAGCTGACATGTTGATTTCGGCTAAACATGTGCTTGTGCTGCATGGTATGTACATTTGTTTTATCTTTATTTATTTCTTGTCCTTTCACATTTTTTTGTTTTTCTCATGAGAAAATTTCTAGCTGAAGAATCGAAGGAACAAGGAAAGAACTCGTGTGGTGATGTAACTGAACCATTAGTAATCATGAACTGAAAACACAGACATGTATTTCGTTAATTTCAAAAATGAAAAGAAAACAGAGACATATATATCTTCAGAGTTCAGAATGCAGATTGCTGCAATATCTTTTTTTTTCCTCCTCTTTTGGGGCAATGATCAACAAGTATTTACACAAATCTGTGTGCAGTGTTTCTTAGCTCACAAACTTGAGTTAGTTCCTACAACTATCTGCCGATCTATACAACAGCATCTCAACAAGAACATCTACAAACCACACTCTCTTTTGCTTTTCCTGAAAGTTAGTGCCCTACAGTAACATGACAGATTTACTCATCAGCTGCAGTTATCAGCGTCGGTATCTGCCCGTTGTTGGCGAAGTCGATCTTGTTCAGCCTCATGCAGCACAAGACATGCTCTGGCAACTCCTCAGCCTTTTGTGCCTGCAACCAGTATCAGACCATGGCTAAGTTACAGACATTCAGTCAAGGGGTCACTTTTCTTTTTTCTTTTTCTTTCTTTTTGAAACAAATCAAGCGGTCACTTTTTAGCCAGGAGCAGAAGAAAATTAAGTACCTGAATAGTCAGACCAAGATCAAGAACGCCATGCTTGAGCCGCTCCCAGAAGGTCTCGAGCCCTTTCCGCGATATGAAGCTGAACCGATGGACATCGAGATCGATCTCAAAGTAATTTGGACCCTACATTATCAATGAAAACACACACATTTTTTATGTTTCAGTCAGAACTGAAAACACATTTTACTATTTCAACACTTGTTTGTCTATAAACTAGAGAGCACCACCGGCTTGCAACGCGATCACCTAGTGCCACTCGATGTAATCTCGCAATGCAATCGCACTAGAATCACTCACTCATAATTGACTCACACTCTTGCAAGCAAAAGTGAGTTAGAGGGCTCCTAAGCACCCTCAAGCATGGACACAAAGTCTCCTAAGGTACTCAACCTTAACCAAGCCCGAGCTCCACCTCTATTTATAGCTACAAAGCCAAATAGAGCCGTTACCCCATCATTAGGCTGATTGCATCCGCATTGGATGCACTACCAGGACTGACAGGACGCTCTGACCAGCGTCCGGTGCGCCACGTGTTGCGCTCATGTTACTCGACCGTCTGAATCAAACCATTGGCGCCCAATGGCTCACGCCACCTCAGCGTACGATCAATGAACGGACTCGCTTGTCCCAGTGTCTGGTCACTACGCAGAGAGCTCCGAAATGGTGATTCGTTTTGTGACTCCATGAAGGTAACTCACGAGTGTAGTTTTTATCATATTTTACTAGCATCATTGGAAACAAACACTACCGGAAACCGGCACTTTACTGAGTGCCGGAAGCTTTGCCGAGTGTATTTTATCAGGCACTCGGCAAAGACGGTCTTTGCCGAGTGCCAAATAAAATACACTCGGCAAAAAAAAAAACACTCGGCAAAATGCGTCTTTGCCGGGTGCCTTTTTTCTGGCACTCGGCAAATATGTATTTTGCCGAGTGCTATTTTTCGGCACACGGCAAAATGCGTCTTTGCCGAGTGCCTTTTTTCTGGCACTCGGTAAAGATGTATTTTGCCGAGTGCCTTTGTTTTGGCACTTGGCAAAGAGGCATTTTGACGTGTGCATTTTTATGGCCCTCGGCAAATCAGTTTTTCAAAGCAATTTTTGAGGCCCTAAATGAATTCAAATGAAAAACTTTTCAACTACAAAGTTGTATAACTTCTCAAGATCTACAAAGTTTATTTTGGTCATTTCTTTATTTGACAAAGCGACAATAACATTTTTCATAAAATCTACATCTCTCATATTAGTTTCACGAAAGTAGAAGAGAGATATATAAGATTTAAGAAAAATGTTACTACCACTATGTCGGATGAACAAATGACCAAAATAAACTTTGTAGATCTTGAGAAGTTATGAAATTTTGTAGTTGGCAACATTTTGATTTGAAATCATCTTGTCATGCAAAAACGACGTTTGAATTTGAAAATTTGAAAATTTGAATTTTTTAAAAGACCTCGGATGTTAAAACTTCCTAAATGAAAATTGTAGATCTCCAAAAGTTATGAAACTGTGTGGTTGACAACTTTTTGATTTGAAATCATCTTATCATGCAAAACTACGTTTGAATCTCTCAAATTTGAAATTCGAATTTTTCAAACGACCTCGGATGGAAAAACTTACTAAATGAAAATTGTAGATCTCAAAAAGTTATGAAACTTTGTAGTTGACCACTTTTTGATTTGAAATCATATTATCATGCAAAACTACGTTTGAATGTCTCAAGTTTGAAATTTGAATTTTTCAAACGACCTCGGATGGAAAAACTTCCTAAATGAAAATTGTAGATCTCGAAAAGTTATGAAACTTTGTAGTTGACAACTTATTGATTTGAATTCGTTTAGGGCCTCAAACAAGCAATTTATTCTCGGTTTAGTATAATATATGAGGATAGATAACGGAATCTAGACACAAGTGACAGTATAGTGCAGTGGTAGAGCAGCAGACACGCGTGGGAGAGTTCGAATCCCGCCGGCCGCGTTAGCCGCGAATTTAGCGCAAAAAATGCAGCGACTTCGATGGAGACGGGCGGGCGCTGGCCGGTGGCAGCCTCCCCCGAAAAAAATTTTTTGAAAAATTTTGCTATTATTTTTGGGGGTTTTTTTGCATTTTCATTTTGCCGAGTATAAATCTTTGCCGAGTGCTTTCCGGCACTCGGCAAAGGCTTTGCCGAGTGCTTTCCGGCACTCGGCAAAGGCTTTGCCGAGTGCCCGACATGCGGCACTCGGCAAAGGCTTTGCCGAGTGCCCGACATGCGGCACTCGGCAAAGAAGCCTTTGCCGTAAAGGGATATGCCGAGAGCTCTTTGCTGAGTGCAGCACTCGGCAAAGGCTTTGTCGAGTGCAAAGCCTTCTTTGCCGAGTGCAATTGCACTCGGCAAAGCACGCGTCTCCCATAGTGAAAATGGTCGGTAAAGCTATTTATTATAGCCCGACCATCTCCCTTCAGTATCAAATTTATATTAGGACATTTTAAGTATCTATTGATATCTATATGTGGCATGATTGATATCAATAACTATATTTATAGAGTATCACATGAATGGACCTGGACATGGACGACAGCCCCTAGGGCATCTTATACTTTAATTATGTTAAGGAAGAAAAGGAACCAATACATGAAAGACCATGACAAAACAACCTACAATCGAATTTGATGAAGTCTTAACCACTAATGTGTCTACCGCAACCATGGCTGTTCTTTGTTTCTGGTCGTCACTGTCTGAAAAATGCTCAAAACAATGTAGAAATTATTAGGAAATCACTTTCCTTACCAATTACATGTCAAATGTAAAAACTCTCATGGGAGTAGGATGATGGACTATTCACCGTAACAGTCCATGCACTTGTTCCTAAACTATATGCTCTTGGGCGAGTAGTATTGTGGACCTCTGCTCCTCCATCACAAAGTCAAATAAGGTTATTCTGTCCACTGGGATGATGGCCAAGTGTTGAATCATCACTAAGAGCTTAAGAAGTTTGTAATCCCACCAATATATAGTTCTAGCATTTCAGGTTTCTGATGTTATATATACTGCTAATATAATGGAGGCTGTGGTGCCGGACTCCACGTTCATATGTGGTGGGATGTCAGACTCATGGTGGCCTCGCTTTTGTTTTCTTTCTTGGAGTTGCTTCTCTAATTGGAGTGAAGGATTTCTGGGTACTAAAAAGAAAACTTCATGATATCCAACGGAAGAACTAAACAGGACGAACATTTTTCTCTTTGCCGAGTGAAGATGAATATAGAGGGATCAAACTCTATTCTAGATTTTCTGATCCGCTCTTATAACAAACAGAATAGACAATTTGTTTTCTTTTTCAAATTTAACTTCCCTTTGTTATATGTTTTACTGATAAAACAAAAAAAAATCCTAATTAACCCACTCCTGTCCCCAGCGCCCCACCCATTCTTCTTCCCCTCTCCTCCCGGCCCCAGCGCCCCCTCTCCTCCCGGCGGCGCCGCCTCCCTCCCTCACACTCTCCCTCGGATGCGCCGCCTCTCTCTCCCTCCCTCCAAACTCTCTCTCCCTCTGGCCCTCCCTCCACTCTCTCCCGGCGGTGCAGGGCTTGGCCGCGGTGGTCACGCGCCCCCGGCAGAGGGCCTGGTGACTGGTGCCGCACACCCAGGCAAGGGCCGTGCGCACTGGTGGTTGAGGCCGCGCGCTTCCGACAGCGGTGGCCATCTCCTCCGCAACGGCGCGCGGGATCCGGTGATGGCGCGGCCAGGGAGGCCAGATCTGGCGGGGGCTCCTCCTCCTCTCCACCCCGGCGGGCTCCCTCTCCCTCCCAAGCCGTGGATCCACTACGGCGCGGGCACTCCTCCTCGACCCCTCTGGGATCCGGCGGTGGCGTGTCCAGGGAGGTCGAATCCGGCGCGCGCTCCTCCTCCTCCTCTCCACCATAGCGGGCTCCCCATCCCTCCCAAGAAGCGGATCCGCCGCGCGCTCCTCATTGCAGCGGCGTGGTGGCACGGATCTGGCGCGGATGCTCCTTCCCTCCTTCCCCGGCGGCGTGGCGGCATGGATCCGGCGCCCCCTCCTTCCCCGGCGGCGGCGCAGTGGGGATCCGTCGCGGCGGGGATCCGGCGGCCCCTCCTTCCCCGGCGGCGTCCACACGACCGCACATGCACGCGAGCCCGAGGACCAGAGATCCAGAGCAGCCGGCCAGCCATGTGTTGCTTTGTCGGGGCGGAGAGGGCGGGCGTGGTGTCCCGGCGGTCTTGGCATGGCGGTGGCGGCAGCATGGGCGGTGGTGGTGGCCGGCGGAGTAGGGTGCTTGTTTTTTTTATTTTGTTCAAAAAATGTTTGCCGAGTGTTTTTTTGGCACTCGCCAAAGTCTTTGCCGAGTGCTCAATGATTGACACTTGGCAAACAGCTCTTTGCCGTTAAAACCTATGCCGAGTGGTGTTTGCCGAGTGTTACACTCGGCAAACCGTTTGCCGAGTGTTTTTGGGACTTTGCCGAGTGCCGCTGGCACTCGGCAAAGCTCCTAGTTCCGGTAGAGATCTAGAGGCTCAAACTTTGGGGAAAAACATGGTTTCAAATTAAATCTGGAGATTTAATTTTAGTGATTTTTGGCTATGTTTGAGCTCGAATTTGAAACCATAAATATCTTCAAACTTGCTATTGTTCACCTTGCAAGTCAAGTTCGAAGTATAGCTACAACTTATTTCAGTAAACCCCCAGTAAAATTATCCACAAGACAGGATTACAAGACATGCCAGGCACCAGCTGCACAATCGAGCACTTATTGAATCTAATGATCTGAGATGCAGGAATCTTAACCAAGCAGCGAAGAAAGTAGCAGTTTGCATCAGATGGTCATTATTGCTGGCTGTATCAATGGGGTTGCTATAGGAATCCAAACTAACTGCCCAAACTTTCTTCTTTGAGCTTTTGCTCGCCACATTGTTGCCCCTTTGATTCTGGAGACCTCCCAGCCCTATGAAAGGATCAATATGTTGGCTCTTAAGATCGTCTAGGCATAGATCTAGTGGGTGTGTTCTTTCAATTCAGGATAAATAAACATGTAGATCATCCTAGAGAACAAACCAGAGAGAGAGAGAGAGAGAGAGAGAGAGAGAGAGAGAGAGAGGTAAGGGTACTGATCATCGGCGGGCTTGGCGGAGGTGGAAGCCATGTCATTAGTGGCGTGGAGTGTTGGTGGAGTCCGGCAGGTGTAGACGTCGGGCTCGTGGTGTTCGGCGAGAGCAGGGGCAACGAGATCCAGTGGTGACATCGGTGGAGCTTTCCGTCACCTTCAGCGCTACCCTCTGGATCGGATTAGAGTTTAATGGGGTTCTGTGGGTGGCAGCGAACCTCGTGTCACGAGCCCCCCAACCCCCACCTCCTATTTATAGCACTGCACGATGGGGGCCCACCAGCCAGGAGTACGGCTGGGCGCCCCCGATCAGGGCTCGAGTCAGGGTCCGACTCGGTCATTGGACCGAGCCGGGTTGAGATTAATCTAACATTCTCCCTCTGGATCTCACCTTATGACTTAAAACTTAGTTCACTTTATCTTTCTCCCCATTCCATCACAGATTAGTGCATAGAGCATGCCTCGTCATAACAGTTAGTACCGTTAGATTAACAGCCACAATACACCTCTCTGTTTTGAAACAGATTCTCAATTAGACCCTTAGTATCCAGAAATCATAGGCTTTCCTGTAAGCCCATGTCAATTGTGTGTTTTCTGAACGCACTGGGTGGTAAGCCTTTGCTAAGCGGATCCGCAAGTACTTGCTCGGTGCTTATTCATTCAAATGATTTCAAAATGATTCTGTATTTTCTACTTTATAACATGTAACTTAATGTCAATGTGTTTGGCAGCACACTTGACCTGTTGTCATAGGAGTGATTTACTTTTAATGGTTATTGTTGTTGTCTGCCATTGTTAAATCCGTTTACAAATTCCCTTAACCACTTTTGGCTGTCCCTGAAGCCTCATAACAAGCTATACTATGGGTGTGCATCATTGATAATACCACAATTGTTTCTTTGAAGCTTTTTCCATAATAAAACTCCAACTGCGAGTGTTAGCAACTACTGTGGATTTCACTACACATCTCGTCGAAGTTTAACATTTGTACCCACAACTATTTGAGAGTACTTGTTCTTCCTTACTCAGCATGAGGCCTTTAACGTTTTGCAAAATTGCAAGACATTCTTCACTTGTGAGTAGGATGTCATCTATACATAGGATGCGGAAAATGAATTTTTCATTCTAGAACTTTGCATAAACGCTATTGTCCTTCTCATTCTCTTTAAACCCAAACTTTGTTATTGTTTCATGAACTTTAAATACTACTATCTAGAGGCTTGTTTTAACCCATAAATGGATTTTCGCAGGCGGCATCCCATACGTTCTTTTCCTTCCACGACAAAACTTTTGGGTTGTGCCATGTAAACGTTTTCATACAAATCCCCATTGAGGAATGTCGTCTTTACATCCATCTGATGTAACTCTGAATCGTGATGTGCCACTAACGCCATTAAAAAAGGGGTGTACCTAGTGCAGAGAGCTCCCGCTCTGTGCAGGGTCTGGGAAAGGGTGTTAGTGGCAAGCCTTACCCTCGCCTGTGCAATGCGAGGAGACCGCAACTCGAACCCGGGACCTTTCGGTCACAGGCGGTAAGACTCTACCGCTTGCACCAGTCCTATGATTCTAAAAGAATCCTTGCATGAGACCAAAGAAAAAAACACTCATTGTAATCTATTTCTTCTCTTTGCGTGAATCCTTTCGCCACAAGTCACGCTTTAAATATTTCCACATTCCCTTTGGAGTCATATTTGGTTTTGTATACCGATTTACAGCATACTGTTTTGACTCCTTTAGAAAAATTTTCTAGGTTCTAAATATCGTTGGTGCTCATTGATCTCATTTCATCTTCCATGGCTTCAAGCCACTTCTGCGAGTGATCGCTTCTCATGGCTTCTTCAAATAAGGTGGGATCACCCTCCATTTGAAATTCTTCACTAACATATTCTTCACTAACATAGACTTCGTAGTCATCAGGAATGACTGATTTTCTAGCTCTTTAGGACCGTCTGAGGCCTCATTAGTTGGCACTTGTTCCATATGGGGCTGTTGTTGCTCTTCCTCATGTGCGATAATGGGCTCTATAGGATGCTGAAGGACAGGTTCCTCATATTCGTTCATTGTCGCTATGGGAGAACCAACAATAGGTGTTGTCACTATAGTATCTTGCACTGTTGGTGCAGCAGCAATAGGTAGCGAGAAGAATGGCTCCAGAACCATCGGAGTGGGCACGTATGCCCGCTTCTCCTCAAGGTTAATTTCTCGTGCTACCATGCTCCCCCTGACCATCTCATCCTCCAAGAACATAGCGTGTCTTATTTCTACAAACTTCGTATGTCTGTCAGGACAATAGAAGTGATAACCTTTTGACTTATCTAGATAGCCAATGAAATGGCAATAGACTATCTTGGAGTCTATCTTCCCTATGTTTTGGGCACCGACTTTCTTGGTACTCGATTAAGAATATGAATAGTGGTTTTTAACGCCTACATCCACAAACTTATCGGTAAAGTGGAGTAACTTATCATACTTCTTACCATATTCACTAATGTACGGTTGTGTCCTTTAGCTACAACATTCTGCTGAGCATCGTCCTGTGTAGAGTACTAGGCAACTATACCATTTTCCTGTAAGAACTTTGCTAAAAGTC